TTCCATTAATAGTTGTTAAATATCAATAGTTGTTAAATATTGTGTTGTGCATGGATGGTGTCCCCATTAATGTTTTTGGTGCCCATTGTTGAGGCCACTTAAGGAACTCCAAGTTACTACTTTGGGTTAAATAGCAGGATTGAGACAACTGTATAGTCCATTACCTTGGATGATCTATCTAGGATTGAGTCAACTTATCTCTAAACTTAAATCATGCCATAAGTAACCCAAAATATTAAACATAAAAAAAACCATCCCCACCAATTAACTGTTTTAATATATCTTTTATAAATATTTGTGAGCTGTGAAGCAATCTTTCATCATCAGTTGTTAAATCTCATCAGTTGCAAAGTTCACCAGACTTGCTTGGTCTTTATGAAACTATTTTAAATTCCACTGCTCCATCTTCAGATCTCGGTGTTGATGTTCCATCTTCAGATCTTGGTGTACTATCTCTTGGTTTGCAAACACTCCAATAGTAACATGCTTGGGTTAGGGGTATACCTACGCATCAGTTTGTCTATTTGTCATAAAATCAGGTTTGAATCCTTTGACCATTTTTTGTATGCTATCAGCTTAGCACCTCTTCACTCAATCACCTTTCTTTTTGTTTATTATCATTCTCCTTCTCCAAAAGATTGCATTTTTTTAGATGTAATGTCTGATCAAATTGACGATACCCTTTTTCTTTACCCCTCTGCCAATATTGTTGTTATTGAAGACATTAATGCTCTTTACACTGAATGGCTTTGCTCTAGCATAACTGACCCTGGATTTTAGGTGACTGCTGGAATTAAAGCTCATAACTTCTGCAATTTTCAATATCTTGTTCAGATATTTAACTGTGCGATATCTTTCCAGACACCCACCTTCACTCCTTGATTTGTGATTTCTCTCTGACCTTAGCTTGTGTTCAGTTTCTTCTTTTTCTTCTTTAGGTAGTTCTAACCATGTAATGATCTCTATAAACCTTTATCTCATACTTTGTCTTTGGACTTGCACTATTTACTATTAGCCTAAAGCTGATTGGGATTCCTTCTGTGATTTTCTTCATGACAGTCCTTGGGCTGATATCTTTACTCTCTGCTGATAAATGCACCTCCTATATAACCTACTGGATCCAGGCAGGAATGGAAGCTTTTAATTGTTCTGTCGGTTCCAAGCCAAGTCTCATATAGATATTAACTGTACATATTGTATACCAAATTTCCTTACGCAAACTCAACTTAGTTGTAAAAAACTTGAAAAAGTAAAACTGGAAACCTAAAAAAACTTTTACATAATTTTTAATTTATATTAGATAGAAATTTTCTTATTAAAGAAATGTTGAAAGACTTTTTCTTGCCATCAACTCAGCTTTAATGGCTGCCGTTACTTCAGTAGTAAAATTTACGCAGCATTAACTTCAGTAATAAAATTTACAGATTATATTAAACTTTTTTTATCCCAAAAAAATGTTAAAATAAAAATAAAAATAAAAATGCATGCAAAGTTTATAAAAGGTTTGCAAAATTAAAATAGACTTTATACAAAATTGAAATAGACTTTATACAAAATTAAAATAAACTTTATAAAAATAAGTAAGAAAATGCATGCAAATTCAGTCATTTATTTAGTTTCAAATTTGAACAAATCAGAAAAAACAAGATTAGTTTTTATAGAAAATCAAAATTTTATCAACAGAAACTTTAGGTAGATAAAAATTTTATCAACTTTAGGTAATCAAAATTTTATCAACAGAAACTTTAGGTAGAAATTTATAAGGGGATTGTGGGAACCATATTACATTGGGAATCATGAAACATCGCAGTTGTGGAGACTTGTCAGCACAACTGCAATGTTTCAGTTTCCATATGGTTAAAACAGTAACTAATAGATCATTTTTTTTAGGTTTAATAGATTCACAACCATTTGTTACCAATAGGCCCATAATGGTCTAATTAATAGCTTATGATTTTAATTTTAAAATTATTGAAAAAAAGTTTTTATATTAAAAATAACGCAATTACTTTATCAGCTAGTATGTTTGACACAACACAAGTGATCTTGAAAAACCTTTTTTTTTTTGTATGTTATGTACTTATTGAAAGTTGTATGAAATTATATTCCTATTAGGTCTAAATGCCTAGCGCATGGGTTAAATTTATTAATTTTTTATTAAATGTTATACTTTTATTGACTTTTTTTTATGATTATCATAGGTTGTAATGAGGTACCCCACAGGTGGAGTACTATAATACAAATTTTAAGTTTTACTTTATACGCTTCTTCAAATTTTTTTTTCAAGACTCCTGACCACTTAAACTCTTCTTGACATATTCCATCTATTAAAACTTTTTGTGAAGACTGGTGTTTAAGATCTACTTTAATATTTGTAGAAATAATTTTACAATCAAAATTAACTAATTTAGTTTTGGAAATTATTGGCTTTCTTTAAGATTTTGTTTACAAAATGATTAATTTGATTCGACACAAATCAATTTCATAAACAAAATTGCAAATCCATCCCAAAAATGAAAAAAGTGTTTACATAAAGGAAAATGTTATTACTTTTTTCACACTTCTCCATTGTGTTTTTTGTTTTTGTAAAGTTTAAATTTTTGGCTATGGAATGGAATTTTTAACTTGGCGTTCAAGTACAGGTGTTTATGGAATAAATAGACATGCAAACTGAAATATAACGATAATACTTAATTATTGTAAAAATAATGAATTATTGTTCAATAATAAATTTATTTTTATTTATTATTGCAATTTATTATTGCAAGAAATCGATGTAAAAAGGTGCTTTCTGATGCTAAACTCCATTATTCTCAGTTCACTAAATCTCGCATCTTATCGCAGAAGTTAGGCTCTAAAGACTTTTGGAAAATCTTCAACAGCATTGTTAACAAGGGTAGATCTAACATTCCATCTCTCATTCATGGGACTGATCTTGTTACCTCTCCCAGGGATAAGGCAGAACTGTTTGCAAAGAACTTTTCTTCTAATTCCACTCTTGAATCTTATGGACATTCTCTTCCTTCCATTCCAGTCAAACAGGTTGACCCATTGTTAGACATTCAAATCACTCCGGCTTCTGTTGCTAAAGTCATATCTCAATTAAACTCGTCTACAGCTTGTGGTCCAGACAACATTCCTGTCACAGTCTTGCAGAATTTTTCTCCAGAACTTTGTTCAATTCTCTCTAAACTATTTAACAAGTGTTTGACTGAGTTTTGCTTACCTGCTTGTTGGAAAATGGCATCTGTGGTTCCAATATTCAAAAACTCTGGAGAAAATTCTGACCCCTCCAATTATCGTCCGATCAGGCTTCTTTCTGTTATTAGCAAGGTCTTTGAGTCTTTGATCAACAAATTCCTCACATCTCATCTTGAGTCAAATAAACTGCTGTCAGACAATCAATACGGTTTTCGATCCTCTCGCTCTACGGCCGACTTGCTAACTGCTGTAACTGAAAGATTTTATCGTGGATTAGATGGAGGCGGTGAGGCTAGGGCTATTGCTCTCGACATATCTAAAGCTAAAAACAAAGTTTGGCATGCTGGTCTTCTCCAAAAGCTTGCTTCATATGGTGTTTCTGGGAAAGTTTTTGAGATTATCAAATCATTTCTTTCTAACCGGTTTATTAAAGTCATCCTTGAAGGCCAACACTCTTCTTTATTTCCAGTAACTTCTGGGGTTCCCCAAGGTTCCATCCTGGGCCCTGTTTTGTTTCTTATCTACATAAACGATCTTCCTGACAACCTTTCATCTAAAGTAGCTCTTTTTGCTGATGACTCAACCTTATACTCCTGTCTTGACAAAAAGTCTTCTCTTTTCGATCGCCTAGAACAAGCAGCTGATCTTGAATCTGATCTCACTTCAGTAATAGATTGGGGTTCACAGTGGCTTGTGAATTTCAACTCTAAAAAAACCCAATTGCTTACTGCAAACAACTACCGTAATATGGTCAACATTCCTATATTAATGAATGGCAATCCTCTTACTGAGTTGTCCTCTTTACGTCTTCTTGGATTATCGCTTACTACTGACCTTTCATGGAAACCATATATACAATCGATTGCTAAATTAGCTTCTGCTAAGGTTGCTTCTCTTTATCGCGCTCGCCATTTCCTTACTTCTGATTCCATTCTCTACCTCTACAAATCTCTTATTCGTCCCTGTATGGAATACTGTTGTCATATTTGGGCTGGTTCTTCTAACGATTCACTCTCTCTTCTTGACAAGGTCCAAAAACGCATTGTAAATGTTGTTGGACCTGGACTATCTGCTAAGCTTGAACCTCTTTCCCATCGTCGTAAAGTTGCATCTCTTTCTCTTTTCTACAGATACTATCATGGTCACTGCTCAAAGGAGTTATCATCTCTAGTTCCATCAACTAAAATTCATTCTTGTTTTACTCGTCATTCAGCTAAGTCTCATTCGTTTTCTGTATCTGTCCCTGCATGTTCTAAAAACTTTTATTCATCTAGTTTTAGTTATCCATCTTCATGTTTTCCTGACTCATACAACCTTCAACTTTTTAAGTCTTCTGCCAACCGTTTCCTTGCTCTATAACTCTGTTCTTTTTTTTTCCTAGTAACTCCCAACTTAATAGTGGTTGCTTGCAGCCTTGTTGGGAGTGAATGCAAATAAAAAAAAAAAAAAAAAAAAAAAAAATTCATACAACATAAATGAACATTGTAAAATATATCACTGTAACAGTAATGAACCTTTATAACTATATTCATTTGTTAAACTATTCTTTTTATTGTTATTGTTTCTATTGTTGTTATTGTTGTTGTTGTTGTTACCCGACGGGCATTTGTTTTTAAAAGTTATGTTCTAAATGTATTTTAAATGTCTTTTAAACGTCTTCTAAACATTCTTACGCAAAAAACTTTTAAACATTTATAATACATTTAGAGCATAACTTTTAAAAACAAATGCCCGTCGGGTATTGTTATTATTAATATTATTATTATTAATATATAAGTATTTTTTAAATGTTTTTTTAGATGTTAAATTTGTTTGTTGCTGTCATCATGGATAATTTCTCTTTTCTAACTGAAGATTCCAGCATTCTTGGACCTCATCATTTGGATGAATTTGTTACTGTTTGGTCAGATTTTGACCCTCGGGCTAGGTTTTGCCTTCTTCTTTCTTTCACAAATGTATAAAATAAAAGATTGAATTTTAATAAAAACTTAAAATTATAAATAAAGAAAATTAAAATTAAACAAAAAAACTTTTATTAATAAAAATTATACTTAAATTTTCTAAATTTTTATGAATTCTGAATTTTATGATTTTACAATGAAAAGGTGTTGAATAAACATGAGTTTAAATTATTTAAAGTTATTCAAAAAACCTTTTCTTTTTTTTTTTTTTTTTTTTTTCTTTCATAAAAGAAAAATTTTTTTTTTATTAAGCAAACAATATATAACAATTAATACTTGTGTATATAAATGCATAAAAATGTGATATAAAAATGCATTACATCATAAAATGTATAGTTGATAATAAACTTGTTTGATGGTTTTGATTTACATTTTTTTAATATTTTTAAATACTTTTATTAATGTATTGAATATTTTTATTGTGATGGTTCTGTTCATTTTCTTTTTTATTATTATTATTCATTTAGTGGTCGTATACAATATACCGAGGTGTGTGAATTATTAAGACAAATGACACCACCATTAGGTTTGGGAAGAAAATGTTTAAAAGTAGTAGCATATAAGGTAATTAAGATTTTTAATATATGCAACTTTAGAAATTTTAATCATAAATTTATCCTACCAAGGTACAGTGGGGTAGAATGTGATAAATACTAAAAAATCATTGTCAACGCTGCATGCTGAAAACTTTTTTAACAATAAACATTAGCAGAAATATTATTTAAAATAACTTAATATAAATAACTCAATTAAAACTTTGTTTCATCTGGTTACTTACAATTTTTGATATATTTTTTGCTCTAACCAGTTTTGTTACATTCAATGTTGTTGCATATGCAGATGCTCACCAAAAGACATAAAGAAATTATCTTACTATTTTATAATTACCATCAAATACCTAGCATAAGGGGAGAAATAGTGACAGCTTTAAATTAAAGAATAAAAATATATACAAGAGGGATTTCAACAAAAAAAAAGACTTATTGTTGACAATCCAAAATAAGGAAGATCAAGAAATTGAAATGCTGGTAATATTCTTTAAAACATTTTTTCAAATAAAGAACGAATTTGGTGAAATTTTAATATTAAACAAAGAATTGATTGTATAGTTACAAATAATCCTAATTTTTACTTTCATTTTTTTATAGGGTAAAAGAGGGTAGAATGAGATAGAGGATAGAATAAAAAAGTATGACAATGTTTACTCTTTTGCTTCTTCTTATTTATTGAATAAACGTTTTGCAAATATTTTTGATCATGTTGTGGAGAATCTTTTTTTGAATAAAATGGTATAAAATTTTAATACAAAATAAATAACTTTTTTCTATGAATGGTCAATTTTTTTCGGGATTTTTTTATTTTTTTATTTTTTCGAAAAATAGTCATAAAACTCTTGGAAGTTAAATTTGTATTGAACTTAAAACCTTGTATAACTTTTTGTTGGTATAAAATATTTTTTCAAAATTAAATTTCCAGTAAAAGGTTATGAGTTGAAAATGGAAATGATGAGCTATGGGGTTGAATGAAATATGCTATTTTTTTTTTTAGAATGAAATAATTTTTTTACCAATTAAATAAAGTTTCTTTTAAAACTTTTTTTTTAATTATTTAATTTTTATATATTTAAATACCTTTTAATTTTAAATATTTAAATACCATTTACTCTATAGGTTTTTAAGGTTTCAGTAATAATAATAACAAACATATTCTTGTTTTTTCATTTCTTTTTTTTATTGCAATTCTATCAACAAAAATCACTAAAATAATTTTAATGCAAAAAAACAGTACTTAGTCACACTGTACAAGATCAAGAAGCTATTAAATAGGAGGCTATTATTGTTATTATTATTATTATTATTTTCAAATTTTTCTTTCCCAATCACTAACTATGAAACACAAATATTAAAGAAATTACTGTCTCTTAAAGAAAAAAGTTTGGTGTGGAACTGCCAGAGAAGTAGTGGAGATTTTGCATAACAAATGCAGTAGCAACTGTATCTTAAGCAAGAATTCAGATATGTTATTGCTACTTCAATTAAAACATTTAAAATTAAATATCTTATTTTGACATATGAATGGTAGACCAAGAAATTCTTTGCAAAACCATTCATATTTTGAAATTTTTTGAATTGTCACAAATTTATTTGTTTTACAATGTTATTGTAGTTTAAATTAAAATAAAAAAGTATAATATATTTTAAATTTTATAGTCATCATTTTCTTACTTGAATGCTTTAAAAATGATTAACTACAAAGTTTAATAAGTTTCTTAAATTTCATTTTTTTTTAAATTATTGTTTTAAATTTTGTTATTCAGAGACCTGACAGTAAGATTAAAATAACTGCAAATAAAATAGTCAGATAGTATATAGTGAAAAATAACCAGAACCAGACCAGATAATATATAGTTAAAGATAACCAGGTTTCTCACTCTTTGTTTAATTTATTTTTTTACAACTTTGTTTATTTATTTAAATATATTTATTTTAATTTATGCATTTTGTGTGTGAGTTCAGCGTTTGGTTAAAATGAACATGACTCTATATAAAGATGGTGCAGTCGATTACACAGGAACATTTTTTGCATTGGTACGCACAGCGTTAGAAGTTTACACTGAAAATGGTTAGAATTACTTTTTAATTTTTTAGTTTTAAATTTATTTAGTATTAAGGGTTGTCCATAAAGGATGTCATTCAGAACTTAATTACTAACTAGGCATGACGCCTTTTATGGATGGCCTCTTATAATAAGTAATAAAATTATGTTTAAACTTTTTAATTTCTTGATAAAACATTGGAAATAAATTTTTAAGAATTTTATGATTGTTAATAATAATACATTTTGTATTACTATTATCATCACCACCATCATGATCATCATCATGATCATCATCATCTTTTTCATCATTATTAACATCACCATCAAATAAAGAAACAATGAAAATATTTATAACTGTTAATAATTTTAAAATTAACTAAAAAATAATTATAGCAATGGTAAAAGTATTATTAAAATAAAAATTAATAAAAATAAAGTTTTTACTACTTATAATACAAAAATTTTTTAATAAAATTATCAAATTGAAAATCAAATAGAAAAATCAGATTTTAAGATTAAAATATTTGAAATTAAGTTCTTGAAATTTTTAGTACAATTAGCTTTTTTTAGTATTTGATTTAATAAAAGAAAATGCCATTATTCTTATGGATGTTGTAAGCTATTAATATGAATTAAAAGAAAATTTTATTTGACCCCAACCAGTAGCTAATTTAGGGTTGAAAGGTATGCAGTAAGATGATTCAGTATTGTCATTATCATTGTCATTGCAACATCATCAAAAATCAATTTTTTATAAGGTTTATATTTTTAGCAAATCTAAAAAGCAACGATTTAGCTTTACGCAAAATGTTAAAGTCAGAATTTCCAAACATTTCCAAGCGTACCTTAGACTTAGTTATTCCCAGAAACCCGAGAGGTAAACACAATTATGAAAATTTTTTTCAAAAAGTATTTTTTTGGAGTAATGATAATAATTACCGATTAGTTTGTTTATTTATTTCCTATAGTGTAGCATTTAGAAAAGATAAAATTTTTTAATTTATTGGTAGATTCCAAGCACATGTCCATTGGAAAAATATTTGCAGCAAAACTCATTTTAGAAAACTACAGGAGTGTTCGTAGAAATGGTAAAAGAAAAAAGTCAGCCGTAAGTTGTTAGTTTTAACTTTTTAAATAAATTGTAATTTAAAAAACTTTGTTATTTATTTATTTATTTTTTTATGATTACCTTTATTGATTATATATTTATATATGTATGTATATTTACATATGTCTAAACATCTTGGATGTTTATACAACTATTAACTCACTTAAAATGTTTTTCAATTTACTTCTTCAAATGCATTTTTGTTAAATTATAGAATAAATAACAGAAGTTCTTCAAGTTACTTGAATAATATAAAAGTAGTTATGTTTTAAGCTAATAATTTAATTTTAATCTAATTTGACTTAAATATCATTGATCATTGTTCTGTATAATATGCCTGCTCTTTTTTTTACACACGCCTATCTTGTTGGAATAATCACTTGTATATAGGGTACAGTATGAATAGCATTAATGTAAATAAAAAGTTAAAAATTATTTAAAAAAAAATAAAAAACAATCCAGATATGAATAGAATTAATTTTTAAATGCTAAATATTCTCTGCTTGATGCTTTCTAGTTGATTGATACTTACAACCAGACATTTATATCGAATGCTGATTGAATGTTAGGTGCGTGAATTTAGTTACATTTAGTAGTTTAACCAAAAGTTTAAGTCCAAGTCAATTTTTTAAGGGGTAGTGATCAAGTGGTAGAACCCCACTTTTATTAGTAAGACATGCAAAATTTTAATTTAGTTTTAGAAATAAACTTTCAATTATCAAGTGTTGTGTATACCTTGCTCTTGTTATCGATTGGTTATCATTGTTATCTGCTTAAAATGAGTAAAAAAATGTATAATCGACAATTTTTAGAAATTTTTTTTGTCACAAGTTGACATTTCTAAATTGATTGGTTTTGCTCGAGTTGGATTTATTTTGCTGCAATATAAAGAGACTCGACTTATTGAAAGAAAAGCAGGAAGTTAAAAAAAGAAAGGGTTTGATGGAGAAATTAAAGAAATTTGTTGTTCAAAAAATCTATATACATTTTTTAATTGAGAAAACTTGAGTTTAATCGAAGGCAATGAAACCTATTGCAGAAAAGGACTTTTCATGATTAACAGGCCAGCAATATTTTTATCAATTAAAAGGTAGATGTTTTTCCAACATGCTTAAGTATATTCTAACTGAAATATTTTTCTTTCAAGTTTCTTTTATGGCAAGAAATACGTTAAAAAGTGCACATTAAAGAAAAAATGGAAGGCAGATCAAAAAAATTGACTCAAAACTAAATACAAAAGCTAATGTCAATTAGTCTAAAAAATACTCAATTTCTTAAGTACCCAATTAAAAATGTAAAAAATTATTGAAATAAAAAAAAACTTAGTTTTGTTTTGTAAAAAATTTGAAAAACGTTTAGGTATTTTTCAAGAAACTAATAAATTAAGGGTGCTAAATTTCATCATATTTAACCAATATTTAAACATATATTAATGAAATTAAAATAAAACCTAATATTGTTTTTTTAACTAGATTTTATGTATTTAACTGATAATGCGCAAGATGCTTTGCAAACAATTTTAAAAATTATTTTTTCAGAAACTAATAGTTTTATTTATAATAAATTGAAATTATTTATAACTTGTTTTATTAACAATGTACTAATTTCTTTTTAATTTATTGAATTTTTGATTATTTAAATTAAGTTTTAACATTTTAAGTTCAATAAACAAATTGTTACTTTTGGTTAGGTTGTTCTTTAAGTATGTTTTACAAGATGTTCCAATTGTTTTAGGAATAAACCATGACAATGGTTTGTCATGATTTATATGTGATTTGAATGGATATGAAAAATCAATTCAGTGGAAAAATGGTCTATAAATTCAATTTTTTGGTAATACAAAGTTGTTGAATAAAACTTTTTAGTATATAAAGCTATATAAAATTATTTAACAACTTTATACGTTGTTATTCTTTATTAATATATTACCAAAAAAATTTTTAAATATCTAAACATTCTGTATTATATGACAACTTTATATATAACAAACTTTTGTGGTCTGCATAACTAATTTCTAATTGAAGTTGCTGAATTTTGTTGCATGTTAATTTAAATAATCTGCTTTCTACTTTAATTATATAATTGGCTAACTTTAATTTATAAAATTCTTTAATATGGTCTATTTTTTTAAATTTTTTAAAAATAACTACCTGTGCTACATTGTTATTTTTTATTTTTTGATATAACTTCGTACTAACATAGTTTTAGAAACGTGAAATAAATGAGTTTCTTTTTAGAGGCAATTCTATTTTGAGATTTTAAACAGCTTTCTCATTGTAGTTAAGGTGGTTTTCAAGAAATTGGCGTCAATCGGTTACTAGTTTAAACAATCAAGACATTTCCGTAAAATATCTGGTTTTCAAAATAATCGATTAGATTGTTTAAAGGCAAACTACCAAAAATCTTACATGCAAGCTTTTAAAATTTATTAAAAATGTAATGTCTATAAAGATTTTATGTTATATAACTGATGTAATTTAATTTCGATATATTATGGAATCCAAACTTTAGCTTTAATTTCCAGACCTGTGAAATCTCAAGTTCTAGAATGCTATTTTTAAGTGAGAACTTTCCTCGATGCTGGAATTATTTTAATTATTTCAAAGACATTTTGACAATAGAATATTCCTAAAGAAAATAGAATTAAAAAATCTACTACTATCAGGAATTTTTTTTTTTTACTTTAACTTACTAAGAGGAAAGCATTATAACTTTGAATAAAAAAAACACATGTTTTTTAAAAAATTTATGAATTTAAACACTTTGTAAAAGTTCTTTTCATCTATAATCATGTCCAAATTAAGGACGTTTTTTAATTTTATTTAAAATAATTTAAAACACACCGACTGAGCGAAATCCTAAGGAAGTTTGAAAAGGTTTTATAAAACTCCTAAATTCTGTTTAAACAAAAAAAAATTAAGAAATTTTTGTAAAAACAAGAAGAAGTCGTTGTATTAAAACAAAAAAAAAGTTTTACATTGTTACGGGTGAAATTTTTATAAAAAATTACAACTTAAGTTTTACTCATTCATCTTAACTACGTTTAGTTGTTCATGCTTTCTATCATTATATGTTTCAAATTGTCTTTTTTTTCATCCAATTTAACTTCTAGAGAACGCAAGTCAGTTAAAAAACTGACAGGCTTTTGGCTAGGTGATTCTTAAATTCATATTTTTTATTAAAAATGCATTTTAAGGATGAATGCTGCTGGAACGAAAAGCAACAATATCAGTTCATTTTACATTTTATCTTAAGATTAGATACTTGCAACAAACATATTAGTATGTAGTTGTCACAGATAACGTATATAGATATTTTCTGTGTACGGTTATATACGGTTATGTCCAGTTAAATTGTTGATTTTTTCTCATTTTCGTTTTAATTTTGCAAAAAATGAATGAATAAAAATTTGTCTAACAATCAAGTTCTAAAGCTTAACAGACCTTTGTAAGAGCTGTGTCCCTCTCGGAAACATTTCCCTATATTTATTACTCCTTATTTGTTTTAATTTATGTCAAAATAAGAAGTTGCATGGTACTTGTGTCGGAATTGTATAGTACTTGTATCAGAGTTTAAGTGATTAATGTTGCGGTTAGATAAAAGTATAGCCGGGAATACAGTTCTATTTCTTTATTATTATTGAAAAAGTAATTTTTTTGGTTCTTATAAATTTATTAATTTTTATTCTTTTTTTTTTGTATTTATAGATTGATTCTGTACTGGTTGCGAATGAAACATAACCGTACTTATTGAGCTCGGTTTGAATTCTATTTTTATACGAAATTTCTGTTATTTATTTTTACCACAATAAGCATTTTGCCACAGACAGCTGTTATCTCCGTAAAAAGCAGAAAATAGACAATATCATTTTATCCTTCGCAAAACAGTGACGAAAATATATTGCAACACTTCTAATTTAAAGACTTAAATATGACTTAAACAATAATAGTTTTAAACAAACAACAAATTATTAAATTAATTATTTATTACAAACTTATGAGCTTAAAACAAACAACTTTTTTATTACAAGTTTATGACTCTATGACAAATAACATTGGTTTGGTTAACTTAATTAAAAAATAATTGAACGCTAAAAAAAGTAATGCATAACAACAATATACAATGAATAACAAGTATTTGCTCGTTTTTTTTATCTCTCTTTTCCTTGCCTTGCCACTAAACTAAGAGTAAAACTTTTACCTTTATCAGGAATATGGTTAACTATACCACAACAAGTTTAATGATGCTAAAACAACGGTTGATTGAAATTAATTGATTTCCATTAAAAAAAAATCATAAAATATTAGTTCTAATTGTATCGTTTTTTTTTTTTGCTAAAAGTTTTTTTTTTATTAATTTCTCTTGACATTTCTTCCAAAAAAAAACCTTCAATGCTTTTTTTTGCATTTGATGTTTAGGTCAATGTAGTACATTGTTTAATAAAAAAATTTTTGTTTAGTTTTATGGTTTTGGCCAGGTTTTTCATTTACCATATATTTTTATCATTTTAAATAAAAGTTTTTTTTTTTTTTTTTTTTTTTTTGTCATATCATTATTGAACAAATTTTGTTTTTTTTTACAAGCAGGGAATCCCATTTAAGGTTTTATATATATGCATATCCTTTAGAATTTATAGCTTATATAGTTTAAAAACTATGGAGGTGCTGTACTTTTTTAAATAATAAGTTTTATAAATCTCATGTTTTTCTGGTCAAATATAGCTGGCTATTTGGTCAAATAAAGTTATGTTGGTCACCTGGTCAAATAAAATTATACTAGGGATCTACTATAATTGTTAGTTTTTTTAGATAAAGATGTTTTCTTTTGCAAGGTGTAAATCAGTTTACTTTCCGATGCTTCAGTAAATTTGCATGAATATTTCTTTACAAAAGTCAAGTGTTTTTTAACTTTTGATAATTAACTGTGTTGAAAAGAATTTGGACTTAATGGGTTGATATTGTAGTTTAGTGTTTACTTCTACATTTAGCTCTAATTCTAGATACTTTTATTGGGATGCGAATCAACAGCTTGCAGATAATAGTTACTATCGGTGGTGCATTTGTTTATATCCCAAAAAAAAGTTTTAAATGAACCAGTTTTAGACTTTTTTCCAAATATTTGCAAATTTAATGTGCCAGACTGTGTACGTCTTCAAAAATGAAACGTCATTAATATTAACAACCATATAATAAGTGTTCTTAAATATGGGGAATTACGTAATAATCTATTTAATAAACGCAACCCGCTTATTTTTAAAAGTATGAAAAAACATGCAAACCAAGTTAAATTACAGGAAAAAAATAGATTTGAGCAATCAAACCCATTTAACATACAACGTCAAAAAAACGTCTTAGAGATGTAGTTTAAAAAACTTCTTGTTGTTGTTAAAGTTAGATGCTCATATTTTATTACTTTTAAGTGTTTATTTTAGTTTTTGTTCTTGAATATTTACGGAGTTTTAAACTATATTTTTTATCTTACTTTACATTAGTTATAAACAGTAGTATAAAAGCGATACGGATAAGGTAGATATGAGCCAGGGGCCCCAAGCAACAAATGAAACTCTTTTGCTGGTAAATTTACTTGAATTTTTTTATAATTCCTTATTGTTAAGATAATATCAACTGTACCTCGTTGGTTAGATATTTAGCGGAAATGAGTTCTTGACACCCTTGCCTAATTTATTTTGGCGCCCATGACAAATTGACAAATTTCAGCTTTTTCTTATTTTATTTATGGTAATAATTACGTAGTATGTTTGTGACTGTCATACAACGTAAATAGCAAAATGCAAAAGACAGAAACAGCACTAGCTTACCGTGCACATTTTGCTAAATAATAATTTTAAATAAAATTTTAGATAAAGATTAATCGGTGCCCTTGGCAGCTTCCCTAATGTCAATGCCGTTGTTACACCACTGAATAGAAAAAAGAATAAGTAAAACGTGTTTTACTTATTAAACATGATCAAAAAATACTTTCTGAGTGCATATGTCAGGGCCATTTCGAATGTGTTTCCAAAGTATTAAAAGAAATAGCTAAAAATTGAACTCTGGACTAGTCAGCTTAGATGAAAAGAAAAAAAGAAGGCGAATGGATAAAAACCTGAAACTGCATATAGAGTATGCTCCAATCATTTTGTTAAGAAAAGTAGTTCATGTATTTTTTATGCGTATAGTTATTTCATATAATTATTTTTATAAAAATAAATAAAATAAAAAATTATAAATCGCTATTTAGGTGTCACTCCATTGACTTAGGTGTCAGTCCATTGACTAGTTTGTAACTATATGAGTGACACCTAACCAATTTATATTGATTTACGATGAAATTTGTAAATTTTATTGATATGGTTGAATAAAAAAATAAAAAAAAAATAAGTCCGAGCTTCTAATTGTAAATATAAAGAAAAAAATAAAATCACGCGCAGAAATAAAAGAATGGAACGCACAGAAAAACCCATCGCCAACTAATTTCCGAGAAAGCAATTTTTTCAGTTTAACTATTTCTTTTATTTTCAGTTTTTGTAACTGAATAGTAAGATTATTAACTTTAGTCGACCAAAAAAGTATTGTTAAGCAAGTAAAAAAGTATTGTTACCTAGTTACCAAGCTTTAGTTTTAATGCAGATTAAGAACTAAAATATGATTAAAAATTAAAACTTGAAAACTAATTTTGAAGCTTAATACTATCTAATAAATGTAGTTCATACGAATACAAATCTTTACTACTTAACTCTTAATGTTACTAAATTTAATAATCTTACTAAATTAGTTGGAAAAGTTGAAAATAAAAAAAAATAGTCAAATCTAAGCAAAACCTTTTTTGGAAATCAGTTGATAATGATTAAAAAAAAAAATTTTACACTTGTATGTCTTCCATTGAGATTTTAAACGTTATTTTTTATTTATTAAAACCATTCTTACTCTCCATTCGTTATTAAATAGAACAAAGTATTCTTGCAGCAAAGTTTAGTAATAAAAATAGAACAAAGTATTCTTGCAGCAAAGTTTAGTAATAAAAATAGAACAAAGTATTCTTGCAGCAAAGTTTAGTAATAAAAATAGAACAAAGTATTCTTGCAGCAAAGTTTAGTAATAAAAATAGAACAAAGTATTCTTGCAGCAAAGTTTAGTAATAAAAATAGAACAAAGTATTCTTGCAGCAAAGTTTAGTAATAAAAATAGAACAAAGTATTCTTGCAGCAAAGTTTAGTAATAAAAATAGAACAAAGTATTCTTGCAGCAAAGTTTAGTAATAAAAATAGAACAAAGTATTCTTGCAGCAAAGTTTAGTAATAAAAATAGAACAAAGTATTCTTGCAGCAAAGTTTAGTAATAAAAATAGAACAAAGTATTCTTGCAGCAAAGTTTAGTAATAAAAATAGAACAAAGTATTCTTGCAGCAAAGTTTAGTAATAAAAATAGAACAAAGTATTCTTGCAGCAAAGTTTAGTAATAAAAATAGAACAAAGTATTCTTGCAGCAAAGTTTAGTAATAAAAATAGAACAAAGTATTCTTGCAGCAAAGTTTAGTAATAAAAATAGAACAAAGTATTCTTGCAGCAAAATTTAGTAATAAAAATAGAACAAAGTATTCTTGCAGCAAAGTTTAGTAATAAAAATAGAACAAAGTATTCTTGCAGCAAAGTTTAGTAATAAAAATAGAACAAAGTATTCTTGCAGCAAAGTTTAGTAATAAAAATAGAACAAAGTATTCTTGCAGCAAAGTTTAGTAATAAAAATAGAACAAAGTATTATTGCAGCAAAGTTTAGTAATAAAAATAGAACAAAGTATTCTTGCAGCAAAGTTTAGTAATAAAAATAGAACAAAGTATTCTTGCAGCAAAGTTTAGTAATAAAAATAGAACAAAGTATTCTTGCAGCAAAGTTTAGTAACTAAAATTTGTTTTCAAATGTAAACTATCATCACACAAAAGAAGACTTTTTGTAAAAACTTACGAGGTCATGCTTAGGTTTATATATGAAGATGTGGTTGATTGTTTTGGTATTTCTAAATCTTTGTATTCTGATAATTTTACTACTTTTTTATTAAATAAAAATTCCCTTTACAATCTTTACAACCAAGCAGTGACACAGTCTGATTATAAGCGCCACAACGTTGTCTTGATATTTATTGTATAACACCAAATGGGTACAAAACACTTCTAGCCAGTTTTTATAACCTGTTGGATATAGACAATGAAGTGATAGTAGATAATGGATTTCAAATAAAAGAACTATTATTTCGTTATTATAACTGATGTTGCTAACTTAAGAAATCATATAAAAAGAGAATCCACATAAATAAACAGAAAAAAAACATAAAAAAAACATTTAGATTTATAAAAAATGTATTACTCATTTCAATGCTTTCTCGTATGGATTATATCATTTTATCGTGTGCAGCTTTATGTAATTTAAAGCCAGCTTTAGTAAAAAAAATTCCAAATTATATGGTTAAAAATATAAATGCTTATGAATTTAGTCGTACATTAGTTGTAAAAATGTTACTCATTTTAAAAGGATCTGTAAGGGATACCGAATACCATCGTGCTATTTCAATGAAAAAAATACTTTTAACATTAATACCGCTCTTTACTACTGAAAATAAGGTGAACTCGTACGCTGTTTGATTTTGAGTAGAAAAAATAGCCCTCACATCTGCACTCAGATTATATTTTTCCATCATGAAAAACAGTATATTTAGCTTGTACTTTAAAATACCAATTTATTTTTTTTAAATAACGTTAATTTCGTTTTATGCGCAAAAGTCTTTTTTACCCTTACTGTAAAAGAAAATATTACAGTTAGTGTATTGCTAATTGGTTTTAGCGTTATCGTATTGGCTGTTTCCAGAAAAGCGATTTTTTTTATACGATAAAAAGCGATGTCGAATTGCACGCAATTTTTAATAAAAATTGACTAACAATAAATCGCTCAGTAATTCGTTATATAAAAATGACGGCATCGATATAACCTATGCAGTCGCTGCGCAGTGGTTAGAGTACTTGCTTTAGAAACAAGAGATCCAGGGTTCTAAGCAAGCTATGAGCATATTTTACGCCATCGGAATGGCTGGAGGCGTGAAATTCCTAGTTATTTTATTATTTAGATATTAAATTTTTGGTAGTTTT